CAGTGAAGGACAGGAAGGCTTGGTGCAATATGGTTCATGGGGTCACGAAGAGTTGGACACGACTTACCGACTGAACAACAACAACTGCAACTGCAGAGTATTTTTTACATGCAGTTACTGCCAAATCCACTGCCTCCCATTCTATTCCTATGCATCTGAGGTCTATTTCCTGAAAGAAAAGTTTGCATTTGTTTCTGTTTTAATGCAAACATATGTTCTAAACCTGTTTCTCTAACATATCAAGATTGTTTTCAGTTTTGTTTCTGTCTGAGAGCATTAGTTATCCAATCCAATTTTGGGTGCCCTGCAAATTTAGTAAGCATCATCATCCAAGTAACTGATAAAAAATGACAATGATTACAAGGCCAGGACCAAAACCTGCAGCACTCCACTTTACCTCCCTCCACAGGAATGAGGAACCATAAATGAACCCTCTTTGAGTACAATTTTCAAGTCAAATTTCTAGCCACTTCACTGTTATGCCAGCAAGTCCCTATTTTAGGATGTGAGGGCCATCGGGCAGTGACACTGGTCACCAATGACTGCCAGGGTTGGTTCTGGCTGGCTGAGCAGCCCTCCCTCCCTGCTCCACATGCTTTCCTCCTTCAGATGGGCGTTTGGTGGAAGAGGATGCCCATCCCAGATTGGGGTGGGCCATTCTGTGGTCAAACTCCCCTGCTATAGAACTTCCAAGCAACCTCGGGACCCACTGGTAAACTCCTACTTTATTAATCTGAATGACACAGGAATTTTTGTCAAACATGTTGCTGTAATCAAGAGCATTTCTACCACTAAGGAATGTTAATCAAAAACTGATATGACATCAGCTTGGCAATATCTGCTACATACCTGTTTTTTATTCATGCACTCAAGGTGTATACATAGCACAAATTTTTCACCACAGTAACCGTGTGTAGGAGGTTGGGCTGAAAGAGAGTGGCTGTCCCACGAGCTTCCATGGTCGAGGGTGGGCCAATCCAACACTTTAACCCACTATACCGGGTATGCTATGTATGACTTACTTACTTACTAATTTGAATTTATTAGCCACCCAACTCCACTCTCTTAGCTTGTCCATACTGACTACTGGCAACTTGTGCATTGTTTTCAAGGCATTTATAGCTCATGACTTTATGATTTTATTCAAATCTTGCACATCCTGAACTTAGAGGCCATTAAGAAAACATACACATTATTAGTCCATACAAAGCAACAGGATCCAATTACACTGACAGAAATATGATGGTGGGGATACAGAAAGAAGGCATATAAAATATATCCTTTTATATGGGATGAGTCAACTTCCAGATGTGTGCAGCAACACTGTATGTGTGTATTTCACACCTCCTCTTTCTATCCTACTGAGTACATCCACAGCCAAATACACCTACTGCAGTGGAGATTTCCTCCTTCTGTTTGACCAATTCCTGAGAACAGCAAGAACCTGAAAATCAAAATTCTCCGGATCCTCACTATGCCCTTCCAAAGCACAACGGGGGAATGCCAGTGGCCTCCCTGGCAGCCATGGAGATAAGGGGTGGGGGCGGAGGGATAACCTGTGCCACATTGCTGCCTACCTTGAACCTCTGCAGAGCCACAGTCATTTGGGCTCCTGCGGACTTTGTCTGCCAGCTGCTCCTTCTTCATTTTCACTTTTTCCCTCTGCAGGCACAAGCAGACATTGGTGATACTTGGAGGGTAGAATTCAACAGTCAAAAAACTGCAGGTGCAGTTAGTTGTACATTTCAGATAGTTTTCCAGCATATACTGTATATTAGTGCTGCTCCATCTAGGCTGGAGATGAAAATCCTGAGGGAAAGGGACTCAGAAGATTACTTGTATACTGTAGAAAAGAATGGGAATTTTGCTGTCATAGAACCCATAATTATTATGATGTAGGGGTTGTTCACATTTAACCAAATCAGTTACATTTTGAATTATGCAAACTCAGAAATAGGTTGATTTGGTGACCTGATTAAGTATGTTCTGCAAACACAGTCATGGAAGGACATTGGTTCATAAACTTCATGGCTGTTGGGGTACAGCTAGTCCATGGGCTTTGACAGGAATTGGGACCAGGAACTCCGTCGCTAAGCAACGATCATAAAGCACGATGTCACATGACCGCATTGCTTAGCGACAGCAATTCCAGCAGTCCCTGTTGCTGTTGCTAAATGAGGACAGTGCAGGTCCTTAAGCAAGGACCTCACGGGATCGCCTCCAACTTCCTGCCGGCTTCCCCACTGACTTTGTTTGTGGGAAGCTAGCAGGGAACACTGGAAATTGTGATCTTGTGACCGTGGGGACACTGGGATGGCTGGAACTCTGAGAACTTTTTCAGAGCTGTCGTAACTGTAATGGTTGCTGAATGAATAGTCATAACCTGAGGACTACCTGTAGACTAACAGCATGTGGCGTTGAAAGATTTGTTCAAAAGAAACAGGAACAATAGGAAGAGAGAGATGTGCAAAATATTTTGAACTGAATGGATTTGAAATACTGAATGCAAAGTAGGCAAAATGGACTGTTTTGAGCCTGAAACACATCCAGTATGTTTGACACAGCCTGCTTCTCTTTTGAAACAGGGTGTTCCAAATTCCAGATGCTTTGATTGAAATGTTTTGCACTACACTAGTTAAAAAAAATCCACACCTGTTGAGAAATTCAACTGAATGAACCTGACAGAGCTTTTGGTTTAAACAAAGTAGAGGCAGGAGTGAAAGCAATTATGTTCTAAGTATCTAATACTAATAACCCAATCAGGCAAATGTGGAAGATGGCTTTCAAAGGTAAATTACAGAACTATCAAAGAAGCGCAAGACAGTAATGATGGAGGACTTTCATTACCCCAGAAGCTATTAGGACACAAACTGCCAAGCAGGCTCCTTCTGGGATGTTCCTGACTTGTCTTGCTGGTAACTTTTTTCCTCAGAGGGTGGATGTAAGGATAGCAGAATCATCTGCCTTTGGACTGATGTTAACCAATAGGAATGACGTATTCGAAGAAGGAGAAATAGCAGAAATATTGGGGGGAAATTAGGTAATGCTAGATTCTTAATTCTAGGGGAAACTAAGCTGACTGAACACATATCTTGGATTTTAAAAAATCAGATTTCAACAAATTAGAACAGCGATAAGTAAGACTCCATAGCAGGATGATGGGGAAAAGAGTTGATCAGTGGGCATTCCTATAGAAGATCATAAAAGCCCAACTGCAAACAATTCCAATGAAAATGGAGAGCAGCAAAAGCAGCAAATGTGACCACACAAAAAGCTACTGAAGAACTAACCCCCCAAAAAAGATATATACCAAAGCTGAAAGAGGGTCAAGTACAGAGATACTACACAGCGGTAGCCATGAACTGTAAAGTTGCTATCATAAAAGGGAAAGCTCAGAAAGCAAAGGATACTAAAAAGGGTTTCTTTACATAGCTTTCGATTAATGGAAACATTGATAGATAATGTACCATCAAGTTCTTGCTGACTGTTAGTGACCACATAGATTCTCTCCATGATATTCTGTCCCTAACCTGGTCTTTCACATCTTCAACAGCACCCCCATTGGTGCTGTAATTAAGCCCATCCATCTTGCTTCTGGTTGTCCTTTTACCCTCTCTCTTTGTCTTTCATTCTTTCATCTTAGCACCTTCTTTAGAGGGCTGAGTCTTTGCATCATGTGTCCAAAGTAGGATAATTGGAGCCTGGTCATTTGTGTCCTGAGTGAGAACTCTGGATTGTTTTGTTCGATGATCCCTCAGTTTGTTTTCTTGGCTGTCCATCGTATTCTCAGGAGTCTTCTTCAATATCAAAGTTCAAAAGCATCAATACTCTTCCTATCTTGCTAGTCAGAGAAAACCTTTTTACTCTGAGTGTAAATCTCTAGGGTCACATGAACTGCATTCTATCAGAGTAAAGGAATTAGGTGATGCTTTGGCTGGACCTCATACTTGAGAAATCCTGGTGGTGAACTGCCAGAAGGTGGAAGAAAAGGAAATGTTACCTCTATCTTCAAAAAGGAGAAAAGGAAAATTCAGCAAATTACTGACGCATCAGTCTGACATCAATACTTGGGAAATTCTAAAACAGATCACAAAGTGATTGACCTATAAGCTCCTTGAAAGTAATAATGTAATTGCATGGATTTGAGAAAAGTTTTGCCAAACTAATCTTATCTCATGTCTTGACTGGTGAATTTCATTAATAGATAGTGGGAATGCTGTAGCCATAACATGCTTTAATCTCAGCAAAGCGTTTGATAAAGTACCTCATGACATGCTGATTAACAAGCATTTAAATGGATGTATAGCTGGCCTGACAATTATTTTCAAAGTGCTCATCAATGGTTTCTTATAGATCAGGATATCAAAAGATTTTCTGTTACTGATTTGGATGAAGAGATGGAGGAATGTATATTAAATCTGCAGTTAATAAAAAATTGTGCTGGATAGCGAATACACTAGAAGATCAAATTAAAATTCAAAACAATATTGATATGTGGGAGAACTGGAATGAAAATAACAGAAGAAAATATTTGTTTAGAAAAGAGAGATCAGATGCACAGGAATAGAATGGGGGATATTATACATAGAGTACAGAGATAGCCTTGAAGAAGGAATTCAGTGACCATCATGTAAATATTAGCTGAGCTCAGACAGGAGATGAGGAAAAAACTGAAGATTACCTTGCCTTAATTCTCTTTAGTACAAGAGGAGAGAGAGAAACTTTGACAGGCTTTCCATATTCTATTATTATACCCTATAATAATAAAACAGAGTTCTGGTAGTTCTTGTGATGTCTGTTTCCTGACCTAGTGTAGTCCGAAGGGCTGACTATTTGGTAACAGAATTGTGAAAACCATTTTTGAATAATATTTGATGCAGCTACAAACCTAACTTCCTAAGAGAAAAAGCAGTTCATTAATGGAACCGGTTTGTCTGGGAGGTTTGTGCACTGCAAAATAGGGGTTGGTAAGAGCATACACTATTTACTGTACATTTATCACTGACTCTATGGAAAACAGCACAGTTACAGTGATGATGCAGTTCTGTTTGCAAAAAGACCTTTAAGCAAGAAATTTTATTTTTATGGCTTTTTTGCCAGTGTGAAGCATGGAAAAATCTGAAAGGAAACGTGTTCCTAAACCCTAAATTGTCTATAAAAGGAAAACAAAAAAACTAACCTGGCTTGCCATTTCCAGAGACAGCATTCTTCTGACAACATCATCTACCCTGCAGGAAAGCACAGAGTCTCCCTGGATTATTTATTTTTATCTTCTGAGGAGCTCAGCATTTGCCACTGGCCTCAAATGGTTTTTAGGATAAAGGAAATTAAAAGTAATGCTGAAAGTGCCATTTTTCAGAGAACATTAACAAATGGTATACAAAGGGTAGGTATCTTGTGAGATTATATCTTGGGTGCTCTTTTTTTTCCAACCAGAAAATCTGATAGGTGACAGAACTGAGGGCATGCCAGGATTACTCGCTCCCCTCTCCCCAAGTTCCCACCAATCCTTGCCAATCTTACTTGTCTACAGCTGAGACGTTGGCATAATCTTTCTTCAACATTGTACGAGGCAGATCATCCAAATGGCTGGGGATAGCTGTAAAGAGAGGGGTTAAAACAGAACAGCTCTCTTGCTATTAATTTTTGTTCAGCAATTGTTTTTGATAGTGGCCAACCAGATTATTTGTAGATGTCCCCAAAATGGTATTTTCAAGAGTTTCAAGGTCCTCCTCAATTCCAGGTGGTAAGGAGAAAGAAGGGTGTGGGAAAGTGGAGGAAAACTGCTACTTGGTAAAGTCAGTTGCTCAGAAATGAGAAGAAAATTGACTCCCCAATTTTATGGGCTGATAGGTGCATTGATACAAAAAGGGAGGGAGGTGACACAGTTTACTCCTATCGCCCTTTCACTTCCCACGTTAGTGGATCAGGGCTTGGGACTACAAAGGTTCAAATCCACAATAATGGCGCATCCTCAGGATGGACCCCAAGCCGACCATCGCTTATTCAAGGCACGCTCCGCCTTTCCAGCCAGAAGGCACAGCGATCCCAAGCTCAGCCATTCATAATGCGTACCTTGTCTCTTCTTCTGGACAGGCCTGGCATATTCTCTGGCTGTTTGGAGGAAGGAGCTCTTCCCTGAAGGAAACAGAAGGGACGCAGAACCAGCTCAGAGCAGCGCAGCGCAACAACGCAGCAGCGCCGTCTTCCTGGCAGGAGCCACCGAGCGACGAAATCAGCTCGGCTTCATCGGCATCTGCTCCCCGTTCTGAGCGAGCTCCCAGCTCGCTCCCTCCCAGGCCTGGCCTGCCCACGAACGAGGCGGGGGAGGAAGGGG